CATTTGCACATAATCTCTTCAAAATTTTATTATTTTGATTCAGTATCACGTCATYGTACCAGATTCGTCTTAATAAATAAAATTTGAGTAATAAACATTTTTTTGTGACTTTGACACTGACGAATGCCTATAAAAACCAACACGTCTGGAGCACGAATGATTAAAACACTTATTGCCGCCAAAAATGTAGCTATTGTTGACCAAGCGCTMGCGGGTATCAAGCAATTTGGCAATCAAGAGGAACTTGAAAAACACAACTGCGCGTACGTAAAGCGTTAAATGCATAACAAAACGAAAGTAAATAACTCATTTTGACCATTCAAATATCATTTATTACAACGCACGCTCGACGTCAGGCGCCGCGGCATTGAACTCTTAAACTTTTAGCGAACATTTGCGTCCACCTGTTAGTTGCAAATGAGAGCGAAGCAATAAAAACAAGAAGGCTATAAAAACATAAAAAAAAAAAAAAAAAAAAAGAAAAGAAAAAATTATAAAAAAAATTAAAATTAAAATAAAAGACCTACTCAATTACGTATTTATTTCCTTTTGAATTCATTATCACATTAGCAATTACAGTTACTCATATGTTGTTGTCCGTTTTTTTTTACAATTACAGAGGGCAAAGCCATGGCCACCGCCTATGATTGCAAATTCATCGAAACCTCGGTGGGCATTAATCACAATGTCGATGAGCTGTTGGTCGGTTTGTTGTCGCAGATACGTTTGAAATTGGAAAATCCGGAAAAATCAAGGTGAGTTGACGGCGAAAGCGGAATAATTGAAACGAAAATGCTGCACTTGAGCGGCAATCAGCTGTGCGTGTGTGTGTATGTGTGTGCATACACATGTGGTCTAAGTGAAAAAAAAAAGAAACAACAGCCTGGTGTGCGTTCAAATCAATTTTAATTACATTGTCAAAGCCAAGGGTGATGGCAACAAAAGCAAAAGCAAAGTAAGAGAAAAATTAATGAAAAGCGCAAAAAAATCTTAATTGCCAAAGTGCTGTGCTGTGATTGCAGCAGCAAAGCAAGAAAAATGGCAAAAAATGGATTCACTTTAACTAGTTACTCATACATGCATGTATGTGTGTGTTCGTGGGCATTAGCTGAAATTTGAAATCAACGAAAATTGGAAATGGAAATATGCACGAAAGCAATTAAGCCAATTCAGTAGCAGCTCACCGTGTGTCAGAGGTCGCCATGTTCGAGCAATTCATTAATTGCGCCCTTAAATGGATTGCATTGTGGCCCAGCTAAGCGCGCGTCTGGAAAAAATAACTTTTTTCTACTTACAAATGCAATACATAGACATAAATATATACATACATACATACATACTACAGAGTGCCGTAAGTGCTGTCTACTGTGCCGTCACCCTGACTTTGCTTTGTTCTATGCTAGTCTGTTGGCGCTTTTCTTGTTTCACTTTGCTACATTTGGAAATTTCAATACTCCACTTTAGCTCATTCKTTTGCTTACTTATGCACGACCCTACCTCTGCTCAAACAATTTTATTTACACAYTACCCACCGATTTATATTCATCACTTTTGTATTCTGCTTTGCAGGGATCTATTCCGTAAACGTTCGATACGTAAGTCGAAGCGTCGCGCCTGTTCACCGCTCGGTGGCGCCTGTCTCACCGGTGGCACTAACCCCAACACACCGTTGGGACCAATGAATAATGTCATTTCCGATGTGAATACACCGCCTGGCAGTGCACAAAGCAGGTGAGTAAGTGATGCTGAGACATCTGTCTAGTGAAATTATATTTATTAGGGTGGYACTATAMAAWTTKTTTGTAATAGTTAATTTTTTTGTTRTAATTAAAAGTAAGGTGGGCTTAATAAATACTATTTGAGATGTTTAGATAAGCACAGTTATGTATGCAAAAATAAGTGAAAACGTTAACAAAGAGTATCCTGAACAAATAAAAAAAAATAATGTCCATATAAAGACTAGATTTTGTTTGGTTAGTTTAACTATTTGCCATGGTTGTTCGATCTCAAATTATTTTTCGGAGTTTATAGGTTAACTTAGCTAAMATTATCTGCCAACTTTCGTGAAGCYAACTCGTAAAATGAAAAAATCGTGCATCCATGCTCTTAATTCTGATCTCTTATTTCGTTTGGCAGCTGTATGCTATAGTGAACCGATCTTAACAATTTCTTTGGATGTTATACCATTACCACAGGCAATAACTCATGACAATTTTGTTGAATATAACTCGTCTAATAAAAWAGTTTTCATACAASGGYTTRAATTTGATCGATCAGTTTATATGAYAGCTATATGMTATAGTATTCCAATCTGAAAAATATCTTCAAAGATTGTAGTGTTGTGTTCGAAAATAAGACATGCGAAATTTTTTGCAGATATCTCTTCAAATAAATAAGTTTTCCATTCAAGAACTTTATTCCGATCGTTCAGTTTATATGGCAGTTATATGCTATAGTGCTTCGAAATCGATGGTTTCGACAAATGAGCAGTTTCTTGAAGAGAAAAGATCGTGAGCAATTTTTCAGTACCATATTTCAAAAACTAGTTCGCATATATACAGACAGATTTACAGATGGTCACTATTAAGTCAACTTAGCCTGTCATGCTGACCCTTTCTGTATATAAGTACATTTTATAGGTCTTTGGTTGCTTCCTTTTGAGTATACAATGAACATCCCTATTGAATGCCAAAGACCATAATGAATACCAATTACTATAATAATATAATCAAYGAGAACGGAAAATAGTTTTGTGGTTAGAAACTTTTTTGGAAGATAGCATGCCGAATATAATGTATTTATGGTAATGGAAAAGTATTTTGAGTTAGCAAAGCTGGCATATTACAACTTGTAGTTGAAAAAAAAAAAAAAAATATGGACATTGAAACCTTTTTATGGTTGGAGTAAAAGTAATTGGCAACGGCACATTCTAGTTTAGAGGATGTTATTAAAATTTATATTTAAAGCTAGCCTAGCTAGCCTCGAGCGTACAAGTTCTCAAGGTTGTATCTCCGTTACTATTTCTCGGCTCAACTTGAAAATGTTTTTGAAACCCGTAAACCCATGTAACCGCTTAACTATCATACTTTTTATGAATAAAATAAGCTAAACTCAAAATGTGTTTGGTTCACAATTTATAAATATTTTCTTCGKACCACCTTGTGCTACACAACTTTTRAAACTACCACAAAAAATATACAAAATAATACTAATTATATTTTCTTGTCCTTTCAGCCCKCGCAAATACCGTGGCTCTCGCACATCGACCAGCCTAAAGGTGAAAGGTCTCTTGGGACGTGTTTGGGCGCGAGACTCCAAATCGAAGAGTTGCGAGAATCTGCATGTTTTGTAAGCASTCAACGCGCCTGTTCTAATTGTCCGCTCAAACATGCCGCGCTAAGCGTGAATGCTGCGTGAATGTGTTGTTGTTGTCTTTCAAATGTATAAAGTTGAAATATAGTTGGGTGCGTGCGTCAAGAGCCGGAGGAATTAAAAATTACTGGAAATTTTGGAACAAAAGTAAACATAATTAGATTTTTGCAAGCAGTCGCTAGACACACATACATACATACCCAGCAAAAGTACTGCAAATTATAAGAATTTAAGTGATAAGTGTGAGAAAAAAGTAAACGGAAACCGTATGCGAGTAAATCATGAAAGAAGTAAGCGTATGTTTCATTTTTAATTTTTTTATTGGTTTTTTTTTTGTGTAAATAGTAGTAATTATATACTTATTGTAATTAAATTAAGTAAATTTTGTAGCAATTATCGTATTATGTCTGTATTTTTCACGAGTAGTATTGAGAATTGTAACCGAAGAATGGTAACTACTAATAAAGTGTTTACACTACACACTATACACATACACATACATATAAACATGCATACAAACACGACGAAAAAATGAGTAATTTATATTTTTAGTTGGTGATTTTTGTAGTTTTGGTAACTGATTTTTTAAATGTATTATTTTAGTATTTAACTACATGCAAATATGTATGTACATAAGTTGATTGTAACTGTATTTAATATAAAAAATATATACTGMATATTGATACTTGAAAATTAATTTGATTTTTTATTTATAATTTTTTAGTCTTTTAGTAAAGTTGAGTAATTTTTTTGTTATTAATTGTTTTTTTGGAAATATTTTTTTCAGCTAATTTTGTTAACAATATTTCTATTATTACTTCAGTTAGTTGATTTTTCGTATGTTCTCTTTATTTCCAATTATTTTAACAGTAAAACATTTAAGCGTTTTGCAATTGGCGCGGGTTTGGCATTGGTTTGTGTGTCACATTTAACTGACCAATTGAARAATTAAACATTTTAATAATGAAAATAAAAAAAATAAAAAATAGTATTTAGAAAACTATCAAATCCGTCAGAATTTATAATGAAAACCATTTTTTTAGAATTTCGTACCGTTTATATAGATGTCTTAGTACATACACCAGGCCACGTGTAATTTTTGTAGTCATATGTAAATTACTTATCGGAAAACATGTAGYTTGTAGTGTCATTTTTCAATAGCAAAAAAAAATAAAAAATAAAAAATTGTATGGCTATTATAACACAAAAGTTTTATGGAGCAGTCTACCGTCGTTAAAGTGAAACTGGGTTGCGTTGCTGCTTTTCAACTTAAGCATATTTTATAAATAAATAATGCAATTATAGTTTATTTTTTCATTACATTAAATATGCATTAAATTTATATTTATATTGGATATCATATAGTGCCGATGAAAATTGTATAGATTAATTTATCTCATCGAAAGAAACCAATTCTCATGTTAGGTTAAGTTGATATTTCAGCGTGGCGCTGGAGTCATACTCAGTGTTTTTTTGTGAAGCCAAAATAAAGCACTTATTGACCTCGTAAATTCATGTTGCCCTTACAAAACGAAAGAAAAAAGAAACCAGACCCAACATACTACTAATAGAGCAATTAAGCGAATTTTCACAATTTAACCGCTAATTGTTCTCAATTTAGCTACAAATTATTCTCAATACACATATATTTGGCTCGATGAATTAGTATTGATTTCTTGAGAACAAGTAGAGAATTTTCGGAACTTCACCGCTAATTATATTCYATTAGCAGCAATTAACTAATTGCTCCACAATTGTTAACAATTTGTCACAAAATGTTTCAGTTAACTATTTACTCGATTAKTAGTTAAATTGACAGAAATTTCTGWAGAAAGTCGCTATGCAACCCTGTGAGGTGTGTTCACTGACACGAGGGTAACATATGTACAACGAGGAAAAAGTTGTCACCAATGTCWACAAATAACTCAAATTATATAAATATCCTTGAATACAGTAGCTTTTCATTACAGCCGGTGCAGTGACTTTTGTCTCAAATCTTTCGTCAGAACAAAGTCAAGTACTAATCGTCCATATTTAAAGGTATGCGACCGCGATGAGTCAATTTATATCTCGATTGTCTYAGCTAACTGATCTTTTTGAATATGGTGAAGGCAATAAAATATTAAATTTTTAATTCAATACCAAGAGACCAGAGAAACAAGTCATAGAGTTCCTGGACAGTGGTCTACCAGGCTAACCTACACAACAATAATTTTTGGTTGAGATGATTTTTTGTTTACTTTTTGTCTGATCCTGAAACAAAAGCTTATACTTCCAAGCTGATTGTATTTTCAAAATTTTTGGCAATCAGAAAAATTTTTATTGATCTTAAAAAGACAAAACAACACTATAGACTCATGACTTTCCATGAGACTTAAACCAAAAAAAAAATTTTTTTTTCAAGCGTGAAACCAACAAAAAACATCAAAACAGCCGTTCCCATTCTAATTGCAATGACTCTCAGATTTCACAACTGTCATAGAAACGGCTTAAGCATATGTGTGTGAGCCTCATTTTTCTTCCAACACTACTCGATGTACYGTTAACCATTAGCCGTTCACGTTGGCCGATAACACCAGTTTATGATGTTTATGTACAACAATCTATTAAATGAACAACTCTATTGACCGGACCGGAAGACTGGTCCMGCCAGCGTCTGCTTATGGAAGATTTCATTGTACTAGGTTTGTTCCTGAAATKCGTTTAGCTCTATTAACCGGACAGAAAAGATGGTTCCGGGATTGTGCAAGCAATGCGTTTAATATCGGGTTAATCTAAATATAATTAGCAATATTCGCTGATATTCGGTTTTCATATAGAAGTCTTGCCTATCTTCTTTACCTTTAATAAATGCCATTCAATAWGCTTTAGGATCAAATTTGATCCGGACTGGTCCAAATATGTAGGGACCAAACTCTAGTCAAACATATAAAATGTTGTAAAATA